CAGGGGAGGCAGAGGCTGGAGGAGTGGGATTGGATGGGCAGGTGGCCAGGCCAGGAGCCTGGACAACATCTCACAGGCTGTGAGAGCCTCAGCTCTTCCTAATGGCATTTCCACAGTGGGAGACGGATAACAAGGGCTTCAGAGAGAAAGGCAAGGAAAAGATGTAAGGAAACACCACCTTTGTGGTGCCAAAGAGAATGGGAAAAGGAAGATACCAGAACATGCTGGTAAGTTGATGTTGGGTATTAAAGGAAGCTCAGCCACAGCCCACCAGCACTGCAGGCCTAGGAGACAGGCCACTGAGGCGTGGCCATGAGAGGAGGATGCACTGTCTAAAGGAGCTGACAGCCCAGCTGGGCCACATGGAGATGGTGGTGGGACATCCAGACAGTTGTGGCCTGATATGGCCACAGAGGTCAAGGCCTAGGCCTGTCTGGAGGCCCAGGGTGGAGGCAGCTGAGGCTCAAAGCTTAATGGTGTCAGAATGCCCTAGTGGCTTCATCCAGGGCCACTGCCAAAGATCACAGGATAGAAAACTCTTCTAGGCAGTCGACCGGCCAAGGTAGCTCAGGGTTTGCTGTGGACATGCAGCAGTTCCCCCTCATTTTGCCTCAGCTGCCAGGTCATTTCGGAGCCAGATTTCACGGCTGATACCAGCCAGGAAATACCTGGCCAGTGTCACCTCTGGTCTCAATCTCTCTCTTTCTTTCTGTGTATATGTAAGATACAAAATATATACATGCCTTATGTATAAATATACATATGTTTATCACTAGTTATCTTAATGTATATTGGGTCTAGCCTGGAAATAACTTCTGTGCTTTCAGAAGAAAGTGGGGGCCTGAATCCTGAACAAATAGGTTTGTTTAAATGACATCTCTGTGAACCCACTATATATAAATGTTGTTTTCATTATATGAGTTCCTGTGTGTGCTCAGTGACAGCCAGCTGTGTCCAGAGGGTGGCTGCTTTCAGAGGACAGAGGTGGGGAGATAGCTGCAGACTCCCAGCTCTCTGAGGTGTGGCCCTGACCCTGACCTCATTCAAGTCTGTGTTCAAGCTCTCACGCCTGGTGGGTCTTATCTCCCTTCCTAGACTGTAGGCTGAGCCAGAGCCATCAACTCAAACAAGATTCAACTCAAACAAGGACGTATCAAGTAACCTGGTAAGAGGTATTGTGCAAGGTGATAAATGGAAGAGGGTAGATGAGAGAAGGAAGGCGGGAGGGAAGAATGATGAAGAAGGGAGGGAGAGAGACAGGTGAACGTCAGACTTCCCTGACATATTTCAGGGCATTTCATGTCCAGGCAGAAAACCCACTACTTCAGGCTTCCAGCTTCTGAAAGCAGCTCAGGGTCATGAGTGGCAGTGTTCATGTCTCCACCATCCCGTAATCACAAGGCTGAGAAGGTCCCAAAGCCCGGTCCCCCAGAACCATCTGCCAGGCAGGGCTTTCAGGGATGGGAGGGTCTCAGCTGGAGTGAATTTGAGGATTGGAGCGAGATCTCAAAGGGGCCCCGGGATGAGGAAGGGCTGGTGACTGAGAGGTGGGTGGAAGGAGATGGCCGGTGGTCAGGTGGGGGAATGAGATGCGGGTGAGAGGTAAGGAGGCCATGGGATGGGATGATGGAGAGTGAATAGGTGCTTTGAATGTGCCCCCCACCCTGTCATGTTTTGGAAGCTTAATCCCCAATGCAACAATGCTGAGATGCAGGACCTTTGAGAGGCGATTGATGTCACCACCACAGGAGTCAGTCCATTATCATGAGAGTGGGCTTGTTATAAAAGTGAGTCTGGCCCCTCTTTCTTGCGAGTGCTCTCTTGCCCTTCCTCCTTCTACTGTGAATGAAATGACTCAGTCAGAGGGCCCTCCCCAGATGCACACCCTCATTCCTGGACTTCCCAGCCTCTAGGACCATAAGCCAAATAAATGTCTTTTCTTTATAAATTATTCAGCCCCAGGTAATCTGCTATAGAAGCAGAAAATGGACTGAGACATTGGGGCGAATGGGGGAGTGAGGGTGATGGGATGATGGGCCGTGAGCACCCAGGGACAGACTAGGGAGCAGAAGTGATGTTGGCAATCACAGAAATAATAAAAAGAAATGATACTAGAAGTACACGTGATAAACACACTCTGTAATTTTCACAAGATCGTGGGGGAGATGTTTGTATGATCCCCATTTTACAAAATGAAGATGCAGAGGCACAAAATATTGAGTAAGTTGCCCAAGTCCACCCAGGGAGGAAGTGGCAGAGCCCAGGCTCCAGTCCATGTTCTCCCTGCCTACTGTGCCACCCAGCCACGTGGGGACCCTGGGCCCGATATTCAGCAACTTACCTGTAGCCACACAGTGAGGCACAGAGAGGGCTGGATTTGACTCCAGGTCTCCCAGCCTTCCTAGGGCTTCTTGCCCTGGATTTGCCCACAGTGGTCTAGAGGGACCTGGCAATGGTCATGAGGTCTGTGGGCAGCACCCTGGCAGGCTGCGGGTGGCCAGGACTCACCATGAAGTAGTAGAGCTGTGAGGACCGGGCCATGAACTCGGGCCGACACACCGCCACGCAGATCTCCACGAAGCCCGCGTGCTGGCTGGGCTTGGCTTCCCCCATCTCGCACACGATCCTGCAGGGAGGAGAGGGGACCCTGTGGGTCACAGGACTCCCAGCTACGAGCCTGTGCCTCATAGCACTGACCCTGGGCCCTCTCTCTGCAGTAGGATCTCAAGGATTGCAGGGAGGTGGTAAATTATATCCTGTTTGTTCCCTGCAAGGATGCCTTCTCAGCTGTCAGGAAATGTTGAGGGACCCTAGAAGAAGGGGTCCTATGTTCTGACCCCAGACGCTTGGTCCCTAATTCATGCTTATCCTCTCAATTGTTAACTAGATGGGAGGATTTGGCCACAGCTCAGGGCATAGAGCTGGCAGAGCCCAGAGAGGTGACGCGACCTATCCAAGGCTCCAAACAAGTCAAGCATAAAACTCGGAGCTCACTTAAGCTCCTTGGGGTCCTCACCTAGAACTCTCAAGGCTTAGGGTGCCTCAGTGAAGCGCTCCTCTGCTCCCAGCCAGCTCCAGCTTCCAGGCTGGCTGAGGAAATGCGTGTGCATATTTAAAACTTTCCCTTTTTAAAAACTTTGATTGCTTCAATTTCAAAAAATGTTCATACCCTTTAAAAACAACAGTACAGAAGTGTGGCAGTAAGGAGCGAGTGCCTCTTGCTTCACTCCCAGCTACTCAAAACTTCGGTATTTATAGTCTTGCAGAGATAGACACCTATACGAGGTCTGACAAGTTCGTGAGCTCATCCTAGAAAAAGTGCTACAGACCTCATTGCCGAACACCGCTACTGTCACCTTGGAAGTACGCCCCTTGGGAAGCTGTGCACCAACACCAGCACCAGTCCACCCTGCAAAGCAATTTTGGAACTCTTTTTCAGGAATGCCCATCAGAGCTGCCTTCCTACAAGGTCTGACAATTAAGTTCGTGAAACAGTTCAGTCAGGTTTCATAACCTTGGTATATCAGTGTCTCACAGCTGTGTTTGTGTCAAGGTCTGGTGGTGTCTTGTTGAGTGACGTTCATTATTGTCATTGCATGTTTTTGTGTGCCATACAATGACAGCTCTGATGGTTATGCTAGAAAATGAGTCCCAAAATAGCTTCAGAAGGCGGACTAGGCACTAGTGTTGGTAGGTGGCTTCCCAAGGGGAGGACTTCAAAGGCGACCATAATGGTATTCTGGATGAGTTCTCAGATTTAATTATTAGACCGTGTATTTCCCCATTTTACAAATAAAGAAACTGAGGCACAGAAAAGTTAAGCAACTCGCCCAAATACATATATCTGCATACATACACATATATCTGTGTAGTTATGTTTTATATATACACACACACATAAATGTTACACACATACATACAATTACATACAAGCATGTAAGTAGAGAAAGATACACGTCCTTTTTAAGATAGAGCAAAACCTAATGCACCTACTGTTGTAAACCCCGGTTTACTCACACTGTAGCATGGACTTTGCTCGTGTCACTGAGACCCAGCTCTAGTTTACTCTTTTCAGCAGCCCCAGGGTATTTCACATGTGACTGCCCCGTCATTTACGAATAACCATCCTTCTACGGATAAACAGTTAGTAATTATCCTGCTTTGTCTCTTCCTCTGAATAATTCTGCAAAATGAACCAACTTAGGCACACACCCTTCAGCACTATGTATTTATTAGAATAGATTCTTACGGGGGGAACTTACTGGGTCAGTTTGTAGATTTCCCATTTGACAGGTAAAGGCAAATAGTGTTCTAAAAAGGCTGTTCCGATTTACACTTTTACCAGTGGTCCACTCTTGCCAAAACTAGATATAGCAACCTTTTGAAAGGTTTTCTATTATAATAGGGAAAGGACATAACATTTTAATTTTAATTTCCCTGATTACCAGTGAGGTCACATCACACCTACTTTCATGTGTGTTTTTTTCTTTCTACCCTTATGTAGCCTTTTCTTCAACTTCTCTGCCAAGCCCTCTCTCTGTTTTGCTGATGGATCTTTTTGTAGGAACTTCTGAATGAGGAGTATTACCTTTCATGTGTTATAAATATGGCAATTATTTTCTCTTCGTTTGTCATCTGTCTTTCAACTGCATCTCCAATGTCTTTTGCTGCGTACAGCTTTAAAGTATCTGTGTGGTGAAACTGGCTGTTCTTTTACTTTATGGTTTCTAGGTTTTGCATTTCTCTCAGAAAAAACTTCTGAGTAAAGGTCCCACAAAATACGTAACTTTCTGTATAATTAATACAGGTTTGATGTAAATAAAATATGGAAAGTATGTAAAAGTCTTTGTCACACATATACCCTCTCAACCAATTGCACCACTCAGGAATATCCACTGTCAACATTTGGGTGTATATGTATCCAGTCTTGATTTTCTTTTACAAAATTAATTAGAAACTTTTTATTCTACTTGGCAACTTGTGTTCTTGCCTAATAAGCCTCAGTCTATGCTTGGCCATGATTCCTTATTCTTCTATAATATCAGATTTAATGGCTGTGTAGTTTACTATCTTGTGCATACACAATAATTGATTGAATTCTCTATTTTTAGACATGCAAATTGCTTCTGAATTTTTACTATTATTAATAAGGCTGAAATAAGCATTCTTGCAAATAAATATTTGTGCAATCTTGTTATTTAGGGAATGTTCTAGAAGTGTGATGGCTAGGCTAAAGAATTTTGACACATATTTCCAAATTGCCTTCCAGAAAGTTTGTCCCAATTTACCCTCCCACCATGTGCAAAGAAGTCAGTACTTCCCACGCCTAGGCTCTCTTGTGCATTGGGCAGCCACATTTAAAAACCGTTCCCCATTGCTTTAATTGGCATTTCATTATTACTACTTCTGGTAAACATTTTTTTCCATCTGACTTTTGGTTCTTTGAATATCATGTGAATTGTATATTTATGCCCTTTGCTCGTTTCGTGGTCTTCACCTTATATGCTAAGAAAAAGTATTGGCTGTGCCTATAGCTCAGTGGGTAGAGCGCCGGGCACATACACCCAAGCTGGAGGGTTCAAAGCAGGCCTGGGCCAGCTGAACAACGATGACAACTGCAACCAAAAAATGCCTGGGCGTTGTGGCAGGAGCCTGTAGTCCTAGCTCCTAGGGAGACTGAGGCAAGAGAATCACTTGGGCCCAAGAGTTTGAGGTTGCCGTGAGCTATGATGCCACAGCACTCTACTGAGGGTGACATAGTGAGACTCTTGTCTCAAAAAAAAGAAAAAGAAAAAGTATCTATTATCTGTAAAAGAGTATAACCATCTTCCCAGCTTAGCATTCACATTTATATTTTGCTTATAATAATATTTTCTGCACACATTTTAAAGATTATGTACTTAAATCCCTTCATCTTTTTCTTTATAATTTCTTCTTTTACCATTATACTTAGAAACCATCCTCTTTTTGAGATCAAGTAAATTTTCTCTTGTATTTTCTTTTAATGTTTTCACAGTTACATTTTTTTAAACTTAACTCTTTAATCCATCTGGGATTTATTTTGGTGCATGATGCAAAACATAGGTCTGATACTGTCTTTTTTCCAGAGAGCTAACTCGTACCTATTTTTGAATGACCTCACCTTTCCTTGCTGATTTTATTTTATTTATTTTTTTGAGACAGAGTCTCACTATGTTGCCCTGGGTAAGAGTGCCGTGGCGTCACAGCTCAGAGCAACCTCAAACTCTTGGGCTTAAGTGATTCTCTTCCCTCAGCTTCCCAAGTAGCTGGGACTATAGGTGCCTGCCACAGTGCTGAGCTATTTTTTTTGTTGTAATTGTCATTGTTGTTTGGCAGGGCTGGTCTGTGTTTGAACTTACCAGCCCCGGTGTATGTGGCTGCCACTCTAGCTGCTGAGCTATAGGCACTGAGCCAACCTTGCTGATTTTAAATACAACCGTTACCATATGCTAAATTTTTATATATCAGGATTCTTTATCTGGATATTCTATGTTCTTGACCTGATGGAACTACAGGGTGTCCCAAAAGTCACCATACATAGGGAAAATGGGAAATTGTAGCTAAACATACCTTTATTTATAAAATATTCATTATAAAATTTTACAAAATATTCTCTATGTGTTGGCCACCTCTTTGTAAAATTTTGTAATGAATGTTTTGTAAAGAACAGTACGTTTAGCTACAGCTTCCCATTCATCCCTATATACGGTAACTTCAGGAGCAACTTTTGGGAATCCAGGTAATATCACAATATGACTTTATAACAAAACTTTTGATATCTGGCTGTGTAGGCTTAAAGCAAGATATTTTAAAATTCCCCAAATATATCAGCATCAGCCTACTCTGGTTTTGTTCTAGAAATGCCTCTAAAAGTTAAAGGAACCAAAAAAAGATCTTGTTGTAACTAAGCAATGATGGAGCAGGAAGGAGAGTCCTACCGAGACTAGATCCTTAAATCATCCGATATACTCGGAGTGCCTTGGGAAGATCCTGGTGGAAATTAGGGAAAATTGAGGATAGCAGCACTGATGGTTCTGAGTCACTAAATCTGGGCAAGCCTCAGTAAGTAGAAATGGAAACTGCACTGCCAGACGTAAGAGAGGGCTTAGGAAGAGTCAATAACTTACATATACAGGACAAGGGACAAGGTTTTACTCTAGTTGGGGCAACAAAGATGGTACAGAATATAGATTTGATTGTGCTAGTAAACGTTCCATAGTTGGGTTTGCTGGGCCGGAAAATGGCGCTTACTTCTTTATAAGGCAATACACGACTCCCATACTAGGTGGGTTATAGGCCAAGGTCATTGTTGAATGACCCTCACAGTGGGCTAGCAGCCTTTGCCAAGAGAAAAATAATCCAAAGTAGCCTCAGGCCTGAGAATAGGTGTGGGATTTCATTTGCAGTCTCCACAGAAGGTAGCACAGGATCAGCTTCAGGGTTGGGGGGATGTGTCAGGGGAGTCAGGGGCAGCAGAGGAAACGGAACTCACGCTTCTGCAGATTTTAGTTTTGTTCTGGCTCATCTCCACCCTTATGCTCCAAGATGGTGACAGTCACTCCTCTCTCCCAGGTATTTCTCTCTCCCGCTCTACACTCCCCGTAACATGGCAGCTGGCTCCATTCTTGGGTGAGGAGTTAAACTCTGGCATTCTCCTTTTTCCCCCACTGCAAGTTCTGAGGTCACTTGTTCTTGAGCAGGAAGCCCCTGACACTGACTTATCTTCCCGGCCCTGCCCCCCCTCCCACATCTCAGGTGCCTTCACTCACTGCTCTGCAGGGATGTAGCCGTCCACCAAAGGGCTGCACTCTACACCGGCCACCTTGACGTGTGAGGCGATGTCGCGGAATTCCAGGCCCAGGTTTTCCCCTCGGATGGTGACCTTGGTGCCCCCTTCCCGGGGGCCTGTCACTGGGATTATCTGGAGGGGGGGAAACAGATGATTGGACAGACACCAAGACGCAGCCCTCACTCACTTGCCGATGGTGGTGGTGGGAATGCTGCCGGCTCTTCACTCTCCAGGACCTGAATCCCTATGTGGGCCCAAGTTCATGGGAACACCCAAAGTCTTAGATGACCTGTGAGCAGTGACTTGGGGCAAAGTGGCCCTTGTCTGTGTGTGGTCTTAGGAACAGTGTCCAAAGCCCACAGAACATCTTCTCATTTACCAGAAGAGATGAGGGGGATGCAGCGTGACCAGCACTGCTACTGGGTGATTCGTGGAAAACTGGGATCAAAGCCTCTGGCATTTGCTTGTGTTTGTTCCACTGTCAAGGAAAACTAAAATCCCTGCTATCCACCCAGAGCCCT